ATCACAACAGTATTTGTCACAGTATTGCAGAGACAAGTTTATCTATCTCATCTTAAGGGTTCTTGTGATTATTAATATTGATATTATTAATATCAATTAATATATATGATTAAATTTATTTTATCCAGGACAAAAGAAAAAAAAACTTCTGAAAGTGAAATGAAAAACAGGAATTTAGTTCTTGTGAGTTAAGAGGATGCAGAGCATATGCTTAGATGGAGGTGGATCATTCACTGTGGTGATCCCTGAAGGAAACAGCCAAGAGAAAGAGGATCAGATTGCAAAAAAAATGTGGTTTGTTTGCATACATGAGTCTTTACGGTACCCACAGGACTTCTGAAGTACAAGTACTCTGAAGTTTGCAGAGCAATTTCAGAGATGTCTGGGGATTACATGGCAAGCATGTTTTTAGTTGCACATCTAAATTTTCTCTGCTCTCTGTTTGGGCCAGAGATCCAATGTTGTCCATGACTATCTCCCCTTCAACAAATATTCCAATGTCATCATAATTAGGGCTGGGTATCATCACTGATTTCTAGAATCGATTCAATTCCGATTCACAAGGTCCCAAATCGATTCGATCCACGATTCGATTTAATTCGATTCGATTCGATTTAAATCTGGGAAATTTTGACAGTCAGAAGTATAATTCAAATCAGAACATTTACATATTTTTGTATCTATAAAAAGGAAGCTGACACTCGCAAGACTTTATCCAAGGTGTGAGCATCACAGCAGATGCCTTTGTGTCAAAGTAGCTGAAGATAAAACAGAAAAACATGAAGGTGATTTTCCTGGCCTGGGATTTTATAAAAATATTCTGCAGTACATCAAAAACGAAAGAAAACCATTAATTAATGAACATTACCTCTGACGTTACAGCGCTTTTATTAGACACACGGCTAAGCATTTTGCATTTTGAATAATATTAAAAAGTTTAAATTTGTTCAGTATTGAACAGCAGAAATGAGGTTTTCTTTTCGGAAGAATGTAAAAGGGAAAAAAACAGCGGCCGACAGCGCTGTAAACAACAGTAGACTTGTGCGTAACAAGCAAGCGAATAATGAAGAAAGCGAAACTGTTCGAGAGAGAGAGAGGGGGGGGGGGGGGGGAGGGAGGGAGAGAGGGAGAGAGAGAGAGCTGCGCATCGCAATGGAAGCAAAACAGTAAAAGAGTGAATTCATGACAATGTTTATGTGAAGCGTTTGGATCTTCTTTTGCTGCTGGTTCGGTCAATATTGTTTGGAGAGAGATCAAACTAACAGCTTTAGAATCAGCGCATAAAGGGCGTGAACACAAAGCGCGGACCCGGATCAGCGAGCTGTCGGCTTTCAGCCCCGACTGTGAGAAAGGCGACATCTAACTGATTCTGATCCGCGGGTCGCGCTGTGTGTTTAAGTCTATGTGCAGAATCCCTGTACCTGCTCTCATTTACTGTTTGGTGGTTCTTGAAATTTTGTGAGATGTCACCAGAGATTCTGGCATTTCGGACAAAATAAATTTATATTAAAAAATCGATTCAGGATTTTAATGAATTGATTTTACGTTATCCAAGCCAGAATCGATTTTAATCGATGAATCGATTATAAAAACCCACCCCTAATCATAATGTCCATTTTGTCCATCCTCCTTGTTGATGACATAAATGCCCATGGTGTGCTTCTTCAGGTCTGTCTGGATATCATCTCCTTCAATGTCCTAAACATTTAATATCTGCTGGATAGGAAGATTTCTAAAACCACACATCAAGAGAATGCTGTTATGTAAATTACCAATGACTGGTGCTCTTGTGAATAGGAGTGAAACTCTTGTACAACAATCATTTGTTCTGTGTTATGTTTTGATTGAACATTTTAACTTTCAATAATGAATGTTTCACGTGTGGTACATTTGAGTAGCTTGAAGAGCAATTTTGTAATTATTCAGTTATAGCTGCTGCCCTGCGTATAATCAGTGTTAACTCAACTGAATTTAAAAGAAAACAAAAAAAAATAATTCATGATTACCACACTGCAGCACACTGGTAACACTTTAAAGACTTAATTGTTTTGAAGCGAGTATGTTAGGTCAGAAAATATGTAAAACATTCAGAATCTTCAAGGAAGGACTAGAATGTTAAGACAGTGGTCAATAAGCAGTAAGGAAAACACAAGATTAGTTTTAAGTCTAATTACCTTATTAAAATGCAATTTCTAAATATGGATCGCAGAACAGCAAGTCTGAAACTGGTTAGTTTGTGGATGCATCAGTTTCTTTTTTTTTTTTTTCTCCCCTGTCCCATTTGGTTCTTTAGCCATCAGAATTGTTGTCTGAAGACCAACAAGGATACCCAATGGATTTACTTTGCCAAATGGATCATCGTGGCATTGCCGTATTGGTCCATTTGGTCGATCTTTGTTTTTATTATTTATTATATTTTATTTTCAGATGTTACAGACGGGACAGACATGAGTGAGGGATAGGAAAGGAGGAAAGAAAGGTAAAACAGAAGGGGAGAGGGACAGTGAGAAAGGGGGGGAGAAAAAAAATCTCCTGGATCACCTGTTGAGAGAGAAAGAATAGAAAACAAGCAAAAAAAAGACAAAAAAAAACAAAGCAACATACTAAACACAACACCATCGCATTAATCTAGCTAAGTGTAAACAGCAGCAAATACTAAATATTCAATGTTGTTGTGCAGCACGCAGGACAGATGTGCTTCGAAGTAGCAGCCAAGAAAGGTGTAATTTGGGTCTACGAGCAGTGAACACCCGTGTGCATACCTGTGTGGATCAGCGCGCTTGTATTCCAAAGGTTTCTCCATGTAACGATCTGCTAGGGAGTGTGGGGGGGCCACAGCCCCGTCCTCCAGGGTGTGAAGCAGGTATGGAGGAGATCAAAACTCCAGACATCCGGAGGTCCCCAGAACACAAGAGACCATGGAAGACCAACAGAGGGGCAGCCGCGCCGCTGTTCCAGTAAGAGCTGAGGAGAGTCCCAGATGAGGGTTCACTCAGCAGCCGCGGAGCAGAAGCCAGGGGGAGTTGCAGTGACGCGCCCATGAGCTCCGCCGGCCGCCAGCTGTGCCTGAGTGACCGAGCCCCAGGCCGAGAGGCCGGGGGCACCCCACCCCGAAGGGGCCCGAGCGAGCGCCAGGCTCCAGGCCCCGATAAGCGGCCGCCAAGGAGTGAGCCGGTGTGTACCTGGACGCCCACCCCCAGACACAAAGAACCACCAACGCACCGACACCTGAGGGAGTCCGCCACTGGCAGGGGAAGTGGTGGTAGGTGGAGATAGGCCTCCAAACCTTGGAGGGCCTGAGATGTCCCCAGAGAGGTGGCGTCTGATACCCAGCCTGACATATAGACACAGACATACAGGCAAACACAGACACAAACATCCATTCCCACCCTCATGCTCTCATATGCACTTACTCCACACTCAACCAACGTGGAGACAAACATAAAGAAACGCTGTGTACACACGATCACACTCCCCAAGCGTACTCTACAAACCGGGTCTAGGTACCCTTGCCCCTGGAGGGGGGAACCGCACCCAGACCCAGATGGTGTTACCCTTTTCCCTCCGGTGGGGAGAGGCAGACCACTCCGACTCCGTAGCAGCAGGGAGGCCCCACACTCCAGACCGCAGTCGGACGGCCAACTCCACCTAGCCCTCCCGCTCCAGCAGGCCGCAGAGAATGGGGGTGGGAGAAGACTCCAAACCTCCCTCCACCCGCTCATTGTAGTGTTGATGCATGTGTGTTCTAAGGTGCAATTAAAACCCAGGAGGGCATGGAGCTACCTGCCAAGGAGCAGCAGGTAAGCACATAGTCCCTCCTGATAGCCCTCAATGTCTAAGTGTATTTAAAATTGAGAGGTGGGCAACGACGCCAGGGGTGAGGTGTACACCCTGATGGTAATTTGGACTCCGTGATTGTGCCCACCCCCAAGATCCTATATGTATGTGTAATGAGAGTGTGAATAATGTGAATGTCTAAGTTGTGGGATAAAATTGAGGCAGAGGCAGCCAGAAGGGGACAGAGGGGGGGTAGCCTCCTCTGCACCCTGGTGACATACCCCTACTCCAAGGCCCTGCATGTGTGGGTGGTTGTGGAGGAGCGGGAAGAGGGAGGCAGCTGGAGATGGGGAGGGAAGGAAGGGAGGGGCAGGTAACCCCTCCCTGGGGCCAGCTCCCCCGCTGACCCCAGTAGGCACTCCCACACTCCGCGACCCGCCAGGGGAAGGGGGCCCAGGCCCATCCAGACCGGGGCCCAGTGCAGCAGCGCCCCCCGGCCCCACAGAGCCCGGGACAGTCCACCCAACCCCACCACAGAGAAAACTGCACCCACCCCACCATCAGTTTCTAATTGTGATACTTTATACTGCTGGCAGTGTTTTATTCTTTTATGTAAGGAGTTTTTTTTTTCTTTTTTAGAGGAAGAGAAACATTGGTTAACATTTCTCTTGTCTGTTGTTTCTGTTTTGTTTGAATACAGCTTTGTAAAGCTAGTTCATAGGCAAAAGTTTTGTAATTTGTATTATACAAATTGCAGCAATTTCCCTTAGAGATGTGGATTCTTATTCTGTTTGCAACAAATTTAGCATTAATAAATGATGTGAAAGAATTTTGTAGTTTTCATTATTGACGTTTTTAAAAACTACAAATCAGGGTAAGCAATATGTTTTTAAGTAAACTTAACTTAATTGAAATAGAGAGAAATTAACAATTTGATTGATTTGAATATAAGTTTGGGACATAAGTGTAAAGGAAACAAATTATTCTGGTACACTTAACACGACCTTAGTTGGACTTACTAATAATATTTGACTAAGTCGTATCCACAACAGTTAAGTTAAAGTAGCTTAAAAATATATGTTGGTTTTACTCGCTTAAATTAAATTCAGTGTACTTAAAAAATATTTCTGGATTCAAACAAATTTATTTTGTGCAACAACTTGTCATAAAAAAAATTGAGTAAATTGAACAAAACATTATTTTCAGTGCAGGCTTTTTGAGCCATGCCTGGCCACAGCACAGGGGCTCCACGCCACAAGTACCCCAACTCTTGCTCTAGGGCGGACAACCATCGACCCAACCGGACTATATCCAGGGACAGCACAACCAGCCAAGACTCCTACAAGGATCCTCATGGGGAGCAAATACGTGACCACTCCCGCTATTCAGAGGGCAGGTATGGTCGAGGAAGAAGCCACCCTCGAAACGGCACAGGAAGGGGTTCAGAGACAATAGGATTTATTCCGGGGTCGGCAGACAGCGTGCCGAGCAGCAGGCAGTCCTGTGCCTCCATGGGCTGGAGTAGCTGTAAGGCTCTTATCTGTTCTGTTCTCACCTGTGGATTTTATGGCACCCGGGAGCCCTGGGCTAATGAGAGCTCCACAGACCATACCCCCAAAACGGTCGGTGACCCTCGACCTCCTAACGGCATAGCTGTGAAAACCCCTGGCATGTCTTTGGAGCCCAATAATAAGCAGCCCAAGACCCCCAGGTTGCCCCTGAATGACAGTTTCCGTTACCCAGATGTGCACATAGCAGGTCAGAAGGTAAAGTACCCAGTTGCTGACCCCAAAACGGGGTCGCGCATCTGGTAAAGGGGATAACCAGCGGCCGGTCAGCAGCACCAGCCTTATATCCTACGAAGACTACGACTTGGATGAGCAGAGCGACAAAGACATTGACTCTCTGATCACCAAGAAGCTGCTGGAGCTTTACGCCCTGCATCAGATTGACCAGCTGGCCAAGTGCACCTCTGATTCCTCCTTCTCCCGCGAGATCAGCGAGCTCATCTACAGCATCGCTCAGGACTACAACCTGGAGGATCAAGAGGCCGAGTGCAAGCTGGTGCACGGGGTCATCCGCATCAGTACGCGGAAGGGGAAAAGGAACAAGGGCTACCTGTCGACCGGGCAGCATCATAACAGCAGGAGGGATGGGACCCTCCCCGACAGTGGCAACGAGACCATGACAAACACCTTCATGAGCAGTGATTTTCCAGAGGTGAAAGTGTCGGAGCAGACACCATCAGACGAGCTGGCGAGAAAGATGAGAAATTACAGCGGGCGAACATATTCCTCCAGCACTACTACGGCTTACTCAGCGTACCACCACGACACTGAAACCTACTCCTCAGGCGCTCCTCTGATTCTCTAAAAGTCAAACAAAAACAATGAGATGTAGCCAGTTACATGTTATGCATTGTGATTTATTTTGAAATGTACGTTCATTCATGTCGTCTTACATAGTCAGGGACTGAAATCCACCTTCAAAATATACTATCATGAGTGCTTAAGCAGTGTGTTTGTTTTATTCACAAGACAAGAATAGACGGTCTTAATATAAAGTCAAAATAAAACTAAAGCAAAAAGCTCTGTCTCTCCTGAGTGGTTAAGGCTTGTGCCTTGTTCAACCTCATTGCTCATCTTACTAATTTAGAATAAATAGGATGTCACCAATTATTAGCTTCATAACTACAACTGTAGACACTCATCATGGTTCACTCGCTTGATAATTAAAGCAGTTTCTACACTCATGGAAACAGACAACACGTGGTACATGACACATGTGGCAAGATCACAAACCTTGTCAAACACAATAGGAAATCATAACAACGTGAGGAAAGGGACAGGTGGACTTCTTTGGTGCTGCAGGAACTACCCAGGTACAGAGGGAGGAAAATGTGGAGCTGTTAGCAACATGTTCAGCACCACTGCTGCTAAATTTGGGACATTTTGCAAAGTCACTTACGTCTACCTTTAGTCAACCCCTGTTTTAAGGACAGTAGTGGGTTTGAGCAGGATTCGAACCTGGGCCTCCTGGTCTCAATGCGGCTATTCATCCCATTGTGTTCTCAAAGCATTTCATGCGACCTTAAAGCTCTCAAGAATTACATTAAGTTGCTGAACCCTGACCTCTGACGTGGCAGATTAGTTGGCTTAGCTATAAACTTTGGTGTGTAACTCTGTATGGATCGAAGAATGTATTGACAGTGGGGGTCTGCCTGTCGTAAAATGAGTAAAAGCTGCCTCAGCCAGATAAACAATAGAATTAGAGGAAAACTACTGAGGAGGGGGATACAGGGCAGCCCCGGCCTCTCCTCCAGCTGGGATATCCAAAGAATCGGTGAGGTCAAGAAGTAAACCTCAAGGCTATATTTTGAAAAAAACAAAAAGGAATTCCCAGCATCCTTAACTCTACAGAGCTCCATTAGTTCAAATGTACACAAATCAAATTGGTTATGAAATCAGTAATGAAATCAATACATGCTAAAATAACAGCTGTATGGGTTCAGCTTGGAGTAAAATGTGTCTTTGAAATCACCTAATATCAGCTCACTTGGCCTAGATTTAGTCAGGTTAGGTTGTAGAGCATTTTGAGTGGATTATATTGGCTAGGTATCATTAACCTATACGTGTACTTCCACTAAAACAGCCAGTGTAGGCTTTCAAAAAATAAAAATAGAACTCAATATTTCATACAGAGATAATACCTTGCAACTATAAATGTAATACTTTCAGTCATATTTGTTGTTTTTTTAATATAATGTTTTTAAATGTGGGTGATAACTTTTAAAGGTTTATTTATTTCTTTTCTGATAGTGTTTCATAGTAAAACAAGAAGTGTTGTGATGTCTTGTACTATGAAGGTATGATTGTAAAGAGCAAACGGGTGAGGTGTTTCAGGTGTGCAGCTCCGACTACAAGCCAACGAAATGAAGATAAAAAATTTCAGAGGTGGGCCATTCTGGTGTCACAAATTTATGAAACGAAAAGGACTGTACATCTGACAGAGTGGAGAAGTGTGAAAACATCCACGATCACCAACGGATTTCAAAGGGCTGGACTGCTGCTTGATGGAGATGAGGACACCGCCACGGCCCTTCAGAGGGTGTTCGACTCCAACACTGACAACGAGAATTTTTTTGGTTTTGAAAGCCGACACTGGAGAAGAGGACTTTGGTGGTTTTAGTGCGCAGGAAGAAGAGAAAGATGGTGGTGAATGACTGACTTTTCTTCTTGTTAAAGCCATGTTACTGCACCTGAGCCTAAAAGGTAGGCCGAATCGTTTTTTCTGGTGTGCTGTAGGTTATTGTTATGTACTACTACATTTGTTACTCGTTCTTGTAATTACCGGTACTTGTACATAAAAAGTTGTGCAAATATGTACCGGTAACTTGTTTTTCAAAATATTAATACAAGGGATGTGTTCCCAAACAGCCATCTCTTTCCTGACAATCCCCTTTGTGCATATTCTCTTACATATGGTAAGTAAACATTAAAGCACCTGCGGCTTTTAGTCAGGTGCGGCTGATGTAGGTACAAAACAGGATTTTCCCCTGATTTTAGCTTGTGCGGCTAATATTCAGGTGCGCTTTGTAGTCCGGAAAGTACGATAATTTAATTTCAAGGGGAAATTAAGTCTCACTGACGTTAAAGGCCAAAGAATAAAAGTGGGTTTTAAGACGCAATTTAAAATTGGACAGTGACCGAGCCCCAGGCCGAGAGGCCGGGGCACCCCACCCCGAAGGGGCCCGAGCGAGCGCCAGGCTCCAGGCCCCGATAAGCGGGGCCTGGAGCCTGGCGCTCCAATAACGTGCAAGGGCAAATTATTCCATAATTTTGGAGCCACGATAAAGAAGGCCCGCTCCCCTCTGAGCTTCCTCCTGGATCTCAGTACCTCCAGGGGCAGCTGACCTGGGAGACCGACAGGGTGTGTGGAGATGAAGAAGCTCAGAGAGGTAAGGCGGGGCAAGACTGTGAACATAAGAATTTTAAAATTAACTCTAAAAGACACAGGGAGCCAGTGCAGTGAGGCTGGGACAGGGGTTATATGCTCTATTTTAAAAGTTCCTGTTAGGAGTCATGAAGCAGCGTTTTGAACCAGCTGCAGACTTGAGAGCAATGACTGACTGACCCCCACGTAAAGTGCGTTACAGTAGTCCAGGCGCGAAGAAATAAAAGCATGGATCACTGTTTCAAGGTGCTGCCTTGAAAGAAAAGATTTTACTCTTGTCAGTCGCCTTAAATGATAAAAACTGGACTTCACCACTGCTCTGATTTGGTTGTCCAATTTAAAATCACCATCCAACTTAAAACCACGATCAGTAACAACAGGTTTAAAATAAACTTCCAGGGGTCCCAAATCTACAGAGGAGGACTCGCAGGGACCACTGGGTCCAAACACCAACAACTCTGTTTTCTTTTCATTAAAATTTAAAAAGTTTAGAGCCAACCAAGCTTTAATGTCATCTAGGCATGTTGTGAGAGGTTTTATGGAGATGCCACCCTTCTGCTTCAGGGGCAAATAAATTTGGATGCCATTATCATCTAGAAAATCTTTCAGTTGACTAAAAACAATTTTCTCTAAAACCTTGGAAAGTAAAGGGAGCTTGGAAGTAGGCCTATAGTTCGCTAAAACTGTGTGATCAAGGCCAGGTTTCTTAAGCAGTGGCTGCACTAGTGCATGTTTGAAACTTGCAGGAACCACACCAGAAGACAGACTGCTGTACCTTCTCTCTGTATTTAGACTCATTGTTGTTGGTGATGAGACCCACCACTGTTGTGTCATCTGAAAACTTGATCATGTGATTTGAGCTGTACTGTGCAGTACAGTCATGTGTTAGCAAGGTGAACAGCAGTGGACTAAGCACACAGCCCTGTGGTGATCCTGTACTCAGTCTGTGTTATTTCCTATGGAGACAGACTGGGACCTGTCAGTTAGGAAGTCCAAGATCCAGTTGCAGAGAGTGATGTTTATTCCCAGTAGGTCCAACTTCTTTACCAGCCTCTGGGGAATGACAGTGTTGAATGCTGAGCTGAAGTCATTAAACAGCTATCTGGCATACGTGTCCTTTTTGTTGAGATGGGAGAGAGAAAGGTGAACAGCAGACGAGATGGCATGATTTCTGGAGCGGTTTGGGCAGTAGGCAAACTGTAGCAGCTCCAGATTTGGTGGAAGGTGAGTTTTCATGTGCCTCAATACCAGCCTCTCAAAGCACTTTGCGATGATGGGTGTAAGTGTCACCAGCCGGTAGTCATTGAGGCAGGAAACAGTGGCACTTCTTTGGTACTCGGGTGATTTTTGTAGTTTTGATGCATAGATCAGTGGTGTATTTAAGATTGTCCAATCTGGGGGAGGGGTGAAGCCTTGTATGCTGAATGTTTGAGTAAACAAGGTCTAACATGCTGTCCCCTCTTGTCGCAAAGTCAATGTTCTAATGAAATTTGGGCAGAACTGATTTTTATCAGGTATCTCTCCCTCCTTTTTTGTGACATTGGCAGGACTTTTGTTTTGTTGTAATTATAAAAGACCAAATTGGTTGTGAGAGTTGATCATTCAAGATCAGCTCAGCAGACAAAACACAGTTTAAGTGTCATGGTGAGCTGTGCTGGAGGCTAGAGTAGGGCCCAAATACAGGACTCTGAGACAATATTAACTCAAAGAGGCAGCTTTTTTTGATATAGGAATTACATAAAGCAAAGTACAAGACAAAACACTAAAAGAAGCAAACAAAAGATAAACTTGAACTCAGATATTGGCAACTGAAGCACTCATAACCAGATATAACTGAGAGAACATGAAAGACACTCTATGGCACAGCTACTATGGAGAACATGACAAAGAACAGAGGGCACACATGAAGGGTAACGAGGAGATGGGTAACAGGTGTGAACACAGCTGGGACTAATCAGTCATGGCCAGACACAGAGGAAGGAAAACCGGTTACACTTTTTGTTTTCTTTTATTTTTCAATACCAAACTGTCATAATACACATAGGTACATATAGAAATGATCTTTTTCTTTTTTACAGCATATAAAAAAAAACATAAATGGGATGAGTACCTGAATACCCCCACTCCCTCCCAATAATGTAAAAATGAATATGTTACAGAGGAAATGAATTAACCCATACAAAATATACAAAAAAAAGCAAGAACAAGAAATCAACAATAAGATAGTAGTGCGTATCCTTATAGTTTAATATTAACATTAATAAATATTGATAAATCTTAAATATTAAGAGTAGTAACAATATTAATATTAATATTACTGAATCCCTGCTCAGCGGTTGAAACAAATTAATAATGCTGGAATATCTTTAAATAAAGCATTCTTATAAGGTAGAACAGCCACTGCCGGGAATAGCAGAACA